TGTTTATCATATATTTGAAGACAATTCAACTTTTAATTAAAAAATAATTCATTTTTTGCTGGAACCATTGATATAGCCAAATTTTCATGAATTATGCCTAATTTCCCTAAAACAATATCGTGAAACTTAAACGATTTTAAACAAAAGAAGTGATACTATGTTATATTTATACGCAGCATGCGTATTTCAATATATTATATCGATATTGTGGTCTTATATTATTCTACGTAACGCAGGGATCACGAAAACCATTTTTATGCATATTATAAAGATCTAATATTATTTATCAATCATGAAATATTAGTCCTCCGATACAAGACTTACATGTGATCTTTCAAATTATTCACACATTCGATATCAGTATATCATATTGATTTTATGGACTCATATTATTCTACGCAACGCGGGGGTCGCGATGAACCCCATTTTTATGGATGTTATAAAGTCTAATATTATTTATCGATCATCAAAAATACGGACCTGCGGTACGGCATGAGGTTTACATATGCTCTTTCAAATTTTAATACATTCACCGTCATCAATATATTGTAACGATCTCATGGCCTTGTATTATTCTACGTAACGCAAAGATGACAAAAAACACAATTTTTTTTATATATATAATAACGGTTTATAATTTATCGATCATCAAATATTACGGACCTACGGTATGGTATGAGTTTTATATATGCTCTTTCAAATTTTAATACATTCACCGTATAAATATATTATCTCGATCTGATGGTCTTATATTATTCTATGTAACGCGAGGGTCACAATTTTTTGTTATCGCGAGCGTCAACAATATATAATAGCGATCTAATATTATTTATCGATCATGAAAGAAAGATTACGGACCTCCGGTACGAAGCTTACATATAACCCTTCAAATTATTCGACATTCATTCTGTCAATATTTCTATGGGTTGCTAAGAAACCAAGCGTTTAACGTTTGTTTTAAGCGTTCGAAGTTCTCGACGGTTTATCGCTTTGAGGACAGTCGTGATCGGCGTGTGCTGAAGATAGGACTTGAGAATAAAAATATAAATTAATTCCTCTGAACCACGATTCCTATAATATTAGATCTGTATAATATATAATCTGTATATAGATAATCTGTATAATATATAGAAAAATGATGTTCATCGTGAGCTCTGCGTTACGAAGAATAATATAGAACCATAAAATCGATCGATATAATATGACACGGTGTATGTCACAAAATTTGAAGGAGCATATCTATCTAAACCTCATATCGTATCGGAGGTCCGATGTTATATGAGGTTTAGATATAATCTTTGATGATCGATATAGTAATATTAGATCGTTATAATATAGAAAAAAATGGTGTTATAGGTAATCACGATATATGTTATAACGTTATACGTTATACGATATAAAATTTAACGTTGTTATATATCACACGTTGCAGATTATAATTTCAAAGGTTATACGTTATAAGTTATATATTTTTCGTTATACGTTATAATTTTATACGTCATACGTTACGCGACGTAACGTTATACGTTATAAATCATACCATATACGTTATAACTTTATGCATTATACTATATTTAACGTTATTCGTTAATACACGTTATGTCATTCGTTATACGTTAAAACGACATACGTCATACCTTATAAGTTATACGATTTAACGATATACATTATACGTCATACATTTTACGTTACAAATTATACGTTAAATATTATACCTTATACATTATACGCTATACGTTATATACGATATACGTTTTAACGTCATACTTTGTATGTCACACATTATACATTATATATTATACTTTGTAACGTTATATCATCATGTAATAAAGAAATTAATTATTTGACGTGAAAAGTGAATACCAGTGGTGACTATACTAAATTAAAATTCGAATCACGCGAGGCAGTTGATATTTTGTTCGATCGTCTCGAGTGGCGACTATAGACGATTGATTTAGAGAAACTTAGTCTAATTAGTTGTCAAGATATTGATGAAATAATGGTCAGGCTTCCTAACAAGTTTCTTGACGTCGAACTGGCAACGGTTCGATCCATGGACTTCGATACGAGACTATAATGCGCTCGGTTTATCTCTCGAGTCTGTGGACCTCGAACTGAGCACGATTCGATCCACGGACAACGGTGGGAAGGGAAGTTTATTTTGTTGTGTAAGTCTGCTGAACGGGAGTTTCTTTGATGAAAATAGTATCACTAGTTAATCCAACCAGCTAGTAAGATATTGAACTGAGCACAGTCCGTTCCGAGGACAAAGAGGTTCATTGATTATAGAAGTCAACTGACAATAAAACATTCTGACATTCACTCCGTACGGTCGTCACGAAAGATTTCTCGCGC